GGTAGTTGGCCAGGGCTGAGCAGGAACACGGCCTATTTAGCCACAAGGTCCCCAGGCCCAGGAAGCACAACCTTGATTACAAGCTCTGCAGTTAATGTCTTGCAGGACCCAGTACATTTGGAACAAGGTAAGTCATTTCCTTTTTGCTTCAGTTTCCACAGATCCCTGTACCCAGTCCTGACCTGGGCCCCTTTGCAGGATACATCCTAACAGAGAGAACACCGCAGAGACAATAGACTGTCTTCCAAAATAAGGAGAAACACGCTTCACATGGCTTGCCTGATTTAAGTATCAGCACCCCCCCACCCAACCCACCCATCCCTGCAAGTGCCTCCTTAGGCTCCTCATAAATCCCTACAAAAGGTTAATTGCCTGGTCCATAAGAACTATAATCACTCTCTGAGATGGCAAGTTATCACTGCAACGAAGGGCAGGTAATTGGTTTTCCGTTTAGCTTCATTCTTACTTTCCCCCCTCTTTTCCTCTAATGATGAATAGCTTGTCAAACAGGGGAAAATTATTTTAATTAAGAGTCATCAAAAGTCCTATTTGCAAGAGAAATGATTAAATTCCCTCTGCCTTGAGGAATAACAATTAGTCAACCAAATACGAAGTTCTGTTCTCGGTGGACACATGCCACAGCATTAGAACACAGGTAACTTCATTTTCAGAGAATTAATGTAAGTGATATGCACCGCTGAGCTTTCCGTGGACTTCAACCCACGTGGAACTCAATAGATTTTATCACTGCTTCCCTGGACGCTTGAGCATCCACTGTGACCTGCAGAAGGAATCAGAGGTCTCAAGGTCAAATACTAAAATTTTTCAGATATTCACAGATACTGTTTAGGTGCATGAATTACTGATACATGTGGAAATTCTGCTCCAACTTCAATCTGCAGGATTGGGACCTGACTTCAGAGGTTTTCACATTTAAAGGTGAAAAGTTTCGGTTGCTGAGAAAATTATCATAGGACCAGAATGATACTACAATGGGTAGGGCATTTGTTCTGCACGTGGCAGGCCAGGGTTCAATCCACCGCATCCCATATGGTCCCCTGAGCATGGGCAGGTGTGGTCCCAAAACAAAAGTAAATAAATAAATCAAATTAATAAGCATTTTAAAATACAGTAAGAATAATAATGATATCCTGTCAAACGGTGGGGAGACAATTCAATCGGCTTAATCAGTGGCTAACGAATTAATAGTACTCCTACATTTAAAAAACCAATGGGGCAGGGCTGGAGAGATAGCACAGCAGGTAGGGCGTTTGCCTTGCACGCAGCCGACCCAGGTTCGATTCCCAGCATCCCATATGGTCCCCTGAGCACTGCCAGGAGTAACTCCTGAGTGCAGAGCCAGGAGTAACCCCTGTGCATCGCCAGGTGTGACCCAAAAAGCAAAAATAAATAAATAAATAAATAAACAAACAATGGGGGGGAGATAAATACATCACCAGAGAAGACATATGGATAGCCAGTAGACACATGAAAAGATGTTCACTGTAACTGATTATCTGGGAAACACAAATCAAAACAATACAAAGATTGTCTCCCACCAGTGAGAATGGCCTATGTCAAAAAGACTGGAGCTAGTCAGTGTTGGCGGGGATTTGGTGGAAAAGGAAACTTCACTGTTGGTGGGAATGTCTGGGTCAGTCTCTATGTAAAGTCTATGGAGATTTCTCCAAAAAGTAAGACTAAAGCATCCCTAAGATGCTCTAGCAAGCACAAAAATATTCATTCAAAAAAATATGTGCATGACCATATTCATCACAGAGCTTAGTACACTTGCCAAGATATGGAAAAAGCCCCAATCTCCAGTGACAGATGGGTGGATAAAGAAGGCATGAGACACAATGGAGTACTATACAGCTAGAAGAGAAGATGATATTGTATAGTCTGCTGCAACATGGGTGGAACATTAAGTATCACACTGAGTGAAATCATTCTATGGTGGTGGACCCACCATGTTTCAAAGAGCATCTTCCTGTATTTGCCCATCTGTGTTTTCTCTGAATCAGCTAGGACTTCATCTTCGCGTTCAGTGTCAACTTAGTGAAATCTTACATTGATTTCCTATAGGCTGCTATCACTCATTGCTACCAGAAGTGGAGTGGTTTGGCAGCACAAATTGATGTCTCTCTATCCTGGAGTTCACATGACCCAAAGGGGAGCTAGAGAAATTCGACAGCTGGTAGGGCGTTTGCCTTATAGGCTGCAGGCCTGGGTTTGATTCTTGGCATCACATAGTGTCCCACAGTCCACTAGGAGTGATCCCTGAGTGCAGAGCCAGAAGTAATCCCTGAGCACCACTGGGCGTGGTCCCAAAACAAAAACAAACAAAAAGCAAACAAATAAAAAGATCAAAACAGAGATGGAGCAATAGCACAGCAGCACATGGCCAACCCAGGTTCGATTCCCAGCATCTCATATGGACCCTCGGCCACTGCCAGGAGTAGTTCTTGAGTGCATGAGCCAAGAGTAACCCCTGAGCATCACTGGGTGTGACCCAAAAAGAAAAAAAAGAGACCCAAACAAATGGGTCAGTGGGGGCTAGAGGCATTCAGAGGCAATCCATTTCCTGCCTCTTTCAGCTTCTGGGAGCTGTGTTTCTTGGCTTGTGATCCTTCCGTATCACTGGGATCTTGCTTGCCTTGTCATATCTCCTCCTCTCTCTATGTCCTTTTGGTGTCTCTCTTTCCGTTTTGATTGCATTGTGCTTGCATTAAGCCCAACTCGATAATCCAAGATGATTCCACCATCTCAAATTAAATCTGTCTTTGTTTTTTGTATTTGGGCTACTCCCAGTGGTGCTCAGGACTCACTCCTGGCTCTGCGCTCAAGGACACTCCTGGTGGACTTAAGGGACTGTAGGACGTGTTGGGGATTGACCCCAGGTGGACCTTGTGCAAGGCAAGCATCCTACCTGCTGTACTATTGCTCTGGACCCTTGAAATCCTTAATTTGATCTCATTTACAAGGTCTCATAGGCCTCATAAGGTAACATATTCACACACATCCAGGGATTAAGACAGGGTCATTGTGACAGTGGTGGCCAGCAATTATTCTGCCTAGCACACGCTGGGAATTATCTTGAATGTCTGTCTTCCTCATTTCCCTGTGGACATCCTAAATATGTGCAGTGTTACTATGTGCCATGTCCTGAACCAACTCAAAGAAGAACAGTAACTAGCCTGGTGATGGTGCCCAAGTTACATAACTTCCCCCAAGCCTCACCACAGAGTGCTCCTTTGCAGAGCTGAAGAGATGAAAATCTCTCTCCTAGGAAATGTTGTAGCAAGAGCGTCTGCAGTCATTTCTTCCCATTTAATCTGAATTCCAACATGCATCTGTAAAAAATGTAAGCAAAAGCCCTGGGTTCAGCAGTGGTGGTGGGGTAGAGACATGAACCTCTTAAAACTGCCGGCATGAATGTAAATCTGCAGCGTCCTGGAGGACACAGATGGCACTCTGAAGGTCATGAAGAGCCTTTGCGAAGTTTGTTCTCTTTATTCCAGTAATCATCCATTTCTAAAGTGCTTCTTAGGGGCAAGGTAGAATTTATGGACAAAGATTTCCTGTAGGGTGTGCTTTATCACACTGGAGGGGAAGGTGGAGGTGAGCCTTCATTCCCCCACAGCAAGAGGATTTGGTCAAAAGGACCTGAAAGGCCGTGCTCAGGGTTTGACAAAAAAAAGTAGTGACAAACTGAAGGGTCAGGGAGGAGTTCAGTCAATGGACTGTAGAGTGAGAGCTGTTGATAGAAAAATAAGGGTGGGGAAAGGCTTAAAATATGGGTTTCATGGTGTCCATGGTGGGTACATTTAGGCAACGGAATAACAGAATTCTGATTTGCTACTTTTATTTTCATCTTATAACAGTGAAAGGTGGGGAAAGGGGATTCGAGTCCGACTTTCCTTGAGTTTGGATTCTAGCCTTCCTGCGTGGAGAACAAACACAATCGAAGGTGTCCCTCTACTGGACACGGGACGCGGCCGCTGCGGGCCACGCCAGCTTGCCACCGGGTTAGACTCAGCTTACAGTGCTGCAGATCTTTCGAGAAAAAAAAATTGGAGTCGGAAGTTACTATAGTGCTTATTCAAAGGGAGACGGACTGGGGGTCCGTGAGGGGCCGGGCAGGCTGGAGAGGTGATGTGCCGGGAGGGAGAAGGCCGGGTTCGACTTCCAGCACTGCAGATGATGGACCCGCTCAGGGTGGATTTGGGAGTATGTGACCCCCCCAAACCAATAAATAATAAATTGGTGGAGGGGGCTCACTGTGGGAACCCGGTGCTAGTAATTCCAGACTCACTGGCCAAGGCACCTTTTTTCACTGTGAAGTCGGTCTCCTCTCTACGCGCCTTGCCCGACTGTCCAGAGCGGACCCAGGTTCAGCGGTGGACGCTGCGCTGGCGGGGATACCCGCGCGACTGCACCTGCCCGGGCCTCCGTCGGCCCGGGTTCGGATCGCTCCAACTCCGGCCGACACGCGCGTCCCGGGAATCCGCTCCCTGCGGCCGGCTTGGGGCGCTGCTCGGCTTGGACTCGGCTCCTCTTCGGCAACGTTCGGTCAACGCTCTCTTTCTCGGGCTCGGCTCTCTTCGGTTTCTTTCGGGTAACGTTCGACTCGGGCTCGGCTCTCTTCGGGTGACGTTCGACATGGGCTCGGCTCTCTTCGGGTGACGTTCGACACGGCTTCTCCTCGCTTAGGCGTCCTTCGGACGACGTTTGACACGGGCTCGGCTCTCTTCGGCTTCTTTCGATAACGTTCGACTCGGTCTCGGCTCTCTTCGGGTGCCGTTCGGCACCGCTCCCTCAGCGCCCATCCACCCCCTCGGTTGTCTCCCGGTGCCTTCGGGCGCAGCTCGGCCCCCGCTCGGTTGTCTCCGGCTTCCTTCGGGCGGAGCTCGGCTCGGGCTCGGCTCTCTTCGGCCGCGCTCGGCCGCGGCCCCGGAAGCGCTCCCAGGGAGCCGGGACGGCCGGCTTCCCGCCTGGCCATGGCCCCGCTGCTGGAGTACGAGCGGCAGCTGGTGCTGGAGCTGCTGGAGGCCGAGGGCTGGTGGTGTGCGCCCGCGGGCTCGGCGCGGACCGGCTTCTCTACCACTTCCTCCGGTGCACAGCCACCCGGCGTGCCTGGCGCTGGTGCTCAACACGCAGCCGGCCGAGGAGATGCGGAGAGCGGGGCGGGCACGGGGGTCTCCGAGCGGGGCGCGGGGCGGGCACGGGGGTCCCCGCGTGGGTGCAGTTCCTGGGGCCGAGCGAGGCCTCGGAGGAACCACGCAGGAACCACCCACGGGGCGGCGGGGGATTTGAATGGGGTCCCTAGGGCAAAAGCGGGGGCCCAGGGGCCCGGGAGGACACCAAAAGGGTGGGAGGGGATCCCCGCGGGAGGGCGGGTGGGCTTCAGTGAGGACAAGGAGAATTCTTTGGAGAAGGAAGGGCTGGGGGGACCCCCGGAGCAATGAGGAGACGTCCCGTTGAGGAGCCAGGAGAGAACCCCGAATCTGGGATTAATAGGGACTCACAGATGATGTGGGGGGAATCCCTAAAAGGGAAAAGTGGGGGGATGGAGGTTAATAGGATGATGTGAAGGGGGAACCCCGCTGAGAGGAGTAGGGCGGAGGGGGTCCCACAAGAGGAAGAGCAAAAGTTGAAGATGTTAGGGCGCCCCGGGTTAGGGAGAGGAGCCCCCCTTACTGAGAGTGGTCAGCGCTGCTGAGTGTCAGCTGAGAAGTGTGACCCCGAACTCCTAGGTCAGACACCCTCAGTCAGCTATGTCGAAGGGACCCAACCCCCCAGTAAAATAGCATTGAAATGAGGGTGCACAGGGTCTAGGGGCCCCTGGCATGAAGTCTCTGTTGGGGTGGACCGGGCGAGACTCGGGGTCGCGCTGCATGGAAACAGCCCGGTGTCAGTCTGCTCACGTCCCAGATGCCCTGCAAACCTGGTTTTGGCAGGAATTGTTTTCCAGGTTTACAGTATGATTCAGACTTGGCATTTAAAACTTTTTATGTGACTATTAAAACATACCAGAGAGATAGTACAGGGGTTAAGAGGTTTGCTGACTCGGGTTCGGTCCCTGGCTCCATATCGGGTCCCTCAAGCTCTGTCAGGAGTCAACCCTGGGCAGGGGGCCAGGAGTAAGCCCCGAGCACAGCCCAGAACAGGCCAATGAACATACAGATATTCATGATAATGTGAGGGTAGTGATACCTCCTTGTAAACATCTAAACCAACTAGCAGTGCCATGAAGTGTAGCCTAATGAGTGGGTTGATCAGTATAAAGTAGAAATTATTAAGTGTGGGACTTCATTAAGTTTACTATCTCTGATGAGCTGTCATTGCATGCAGCCGACCCCAGCATCCCCTATGATCCCCCGTGCCTTTCAGGAGTAATTCTGACTGCAGAGCCAGGAGTAAGCCCTGAACATCTCCAGTATAACCGAAAATAAAATAAAAATGATTTTTTAAAGTTCACTATCTGAGAAATATGGCACGTTATTTAAATTCAAAGATCAGCTATTAAAACCCTAGGGACAGTCCCAGCTGGTAACAGCTGAATCTGTCCCTTTCTCCGTACATTCAGATCAATGCAGCTCAGGTCTCTGCAGCTAGGACAGGGCCAACTACTACATCAGGACGTGGCAGATTTCTCCTCAGAGCGTCTGGCAGTGAGGTGGCCAGGAGCTATGTGGCTCATGGGTGACCAGCTATGTGGTGGGGATAGCAGCTGGTGCACAGATTTGAGGGGTGTTTCCTTGGCGACTCTGATCCCTAAGCTCCTTGTCCTTTGGGTGTAATAAAAGGCTCTTGAGTGGTTTTGTTTGACTCTGCAGCACTGTGACATTATCCATGGCTCATAGACTTAAAACCCCTTCCTCTGGGTACACGGCCTCTGTTGAGTGTTGGGCTCACATGTGCTTCCTCTCTCAGGGATACCATCGGTGTGAGCGAGGAGACCCTGAAGGAATTCAGCACAACCTACAAGTGAGCATGGCTTCCACGGCTGCTCTGTTCTTTCTAGATCTTTCTCATAGATCTCTGAATCACAGGATTCCCCCCACAGTGGCTCAGTGGGGTCGTAAACCATTATCTGGACAGGGTGGCTGCAACCCTGGATTTTCGGGGGCTTGTTTTGGAGTATAATTTTCAGTTTGTTTGTCTTCAGTTCTTTAAGACTTTAGCTGCTTTCCACGGGTTATGGTGGAGGTCTTGAGGAAGCATCTGTGGATCTCAACTGGATGAGGGCATTTGGTCCTTGTGGGCTTCATGAGAACGATTCCTTACTACCTTCCTGTGAATGGCACAGCCCACATGATAGTGTAACTGCTCACACAGTTTGGAAAACATACCAGCCTCAGAAATGCTTGCTTCTGAAACATCCCTCACAGCTGCAGCAAAGTTAATAGCCCTGTCCTTGGGTACACACTGGCTGCAGCTGGTACAGCCAATGGGCTGCATGTCCCGTGTCCTTTTTTTGGCTAGCCCTTGGTTCCTTCTTTTTTGGTCACGAAAGTGAAGAAACGAAAGAGCTGCAGCTCTGACTTTCAATGTCTAGGTTCTGGCATTCACATCTCCGGACAAGCTGCAGCTCTGCTCTGCCGAGCCATGTAGCCCTTGGGCTTCCTCACCCCCCCCCCCCCATTTGCCCTCCCCCTCCTAAAGCAGCTGGTCACCTCTTTCCCATGTGGCTCGCCTCCCCATCCCAATGAAGCTGTGCATCAATCCTAAGGACTGTGCTTCTCCCTCAGACACTTTGATGACAACCTGACAGGGCGTCTGACTCACAAGGATTTCCGCTCCTGCCTGAGAGGCCTCAACTACTACTTGCCCATGGTAGAGGAGGGTGAGCCCGAATCCAAGTTTGAGAAGTTCTTGGACGCCGTGGACCCAGGAAGGTAGGAGGGCCTTGCCCTGCAGTGGGGACGCCGGAATGGTCCCGGACCATTGGAGAGTGGCCAGAGAGCCCAGAAAACTCTGAGAGAGTGAGGCTGCGGTCTGGGGTAGGCGGTGGGGATGGGAGCAGCCTGAGACTCGGGCTCAGAGGGATGGCAACTCTTTCTGGGGTAGCTGAGGGTGCGCTGACCCACTGTCCACAGGAAGGGCTATGTCTCACTGGAGGACTACACCTCCTTCCTGATCGACAAGGAGTCAGAAAACATCAAGTCCAGCGATGAGATTGAGAGCGGGTTCCAAACCTTGGCAGAGGGCAAAGCATACATCACTAAGGAAGACATGAAGCAGGTGGGGGTTCCATGTGCCTTTTCTGATGTGCTTCACCCAGTCTGCCACCCAGTCTCCTCGCCCCAGGACTGTGCCTAATTCACCCACATCTACCCCCAGACTGCTCAACCCAGAGTCCTCATCTCAGGACTGCCTCCTCTCCCTCCTCATGTACCCTGCTGTCCACCCTGGTCTCCTAACCCCAGGACTGTCCACTGTGATCCGTGTTCAGATTAGACAGGGTTGTGTGGTAGCCTATTTGCTATGCTCAACACTTTGATTTGACTTGAGCAGGCACAAATCAGAAGACATGTTATTTTTTTTTTAACTTTTTGTGCCCACCTGGTTTTGCTCAGGGGTTACTCCTGGCTTTGGATTGAGGAATTACTCCTGGCAGTGCACAGGGGACCCTGTGGGCGCCAAAGATTAAAGGCAGATTAGTTACGAACAAGGCTAGTGCCCTTCCCGTTGTGCTATCACTCTGGCCCCTCAGATCTGAAGACCTGGATTCAGATCCAAACTTGCACTCAGGTTGAAGGCTGTTTTTGACCCTGTGTATTTAGGACTCGCAAGGAAGTGCGAGTGTGTCCCTTAGTCTGATCTGCTAAAACTTAGGTGATGAGAAATTGCTATAGGGACAGGGTTGACTTCTTCCTGAAAATTCTTGCTCCTCAAGTTCAGGGTGTGTGAGAAATGTGGCCCCTGGTCCTGATGACCGTGTTTTCTCTTTCGGTTTCAGGCTCTGACTCCTGAGCAGGTGGCGTTCTGTGCTTCGCACATGCAGCAGTATGTGGACCCTCGGGGCCGAGGCCACGCGGCTGGCTACGACTATGTAGGATTCACCAATTCCTACTTCGGCAATTGAGAGCTGCTCTTTTTTTGTCGGTGTTGTTATGGGCCATCTTGGATGTGTTGATTAGGGCTCAACGGAGGGTGGGTTTCCTCATTTACCTGGGTGGCAATAACCAAAGCCCAAGTCCTGGTAGGACTGGAGTGAAGGAGGTTCTACCTTCTGGGTCTGGCTTTACCTTCTGGTTCTACATGTATTTATTATCTTGAGTTGACTATAGAAAAAATTTTGATTATTTCCTTTAAAATATTATTTGTGTTTCTTGGGAGAGAGCTCAGTGGGCTATAATAAATGCTTTGCATTCTGGAAACTGGATGTGATCTGGATGTTCTTTTGCTGTCATCCTGTTGGTCATCAATTGCCTCAAGCAGGCTCCAGTAACATCTTCGTCCTAGCCCTGAGATTTTAAAAAGTGCCACATTCGAGACTCTTTCAGGGTCAGGAGAATGAGGCCCATCATTGTTACTGGTTTTTGGCATATTGAATATGCTACGGAGAGTTTGCCAGACTCTGCCGTGTGGGCAGGATACTTTTGGTAGCCTGCCAGGTTCTCCAGAGTAAGACCTAGAAAATAAGATGTCGCGCTGGAAGAATAAATTTGCAAATTCAGAAAGGACGTCTCATTATCTGGGGGTGTTTCTCAATTATTTAGCACAGGAAACTGCACTTCTACTCACCAAAGAGTCGGAAGACAATCCTTCCACAAGTTATTTTGAAGACTTCAGCAAGGTGGCCTCTAACTTAAGGAAGGAGAGTGTAGAGTGTAGTTACAGAGAGGCCAGAGCATTACCACATGCGACTCTGGAGACACCCAAGCACTGCCAGGGTGCCTCTGGTGCTCCCCAGGAGGGTAGATAAGGTATTTGGCATTTTGAGCTTCTGGCAGAAAGGAGTTCTGTTAACCCAAATGTGGGTCATAATGGGAAATAGTATGAGCATCCATGGGTAGCTCCGCTAGCAGTGAGGAACTCACCAGGTTGTTCCAGAGTGCAATGGACATCTCATTTTGCATAAGTGCTGAGAAGGTCAGACAATAGAGAAGTATTTAGATTCACTCTCACCATCTGTGTTCCGCGGCAATTCTTCAGTACTTTTCTTTAGTATTGCATAATTACCTGAGCATTGCCAAGTGTATCCCCTGTAAAAACCCAAATACTTATCTACAAAGCACTTACTTTGAGTCACACACGGCAATGCACAGGGGTTACTCCTGGCTCTACACTTAGGAGTTACCCCTGGCGGTGCTCAGGGGACCATATGGGATGCTGCGAATCGAACGCGGGTTGGCCGCATGCAAGGCAAATGCCCTACCTGCTGTGCTATTGCTCCAGCCCCCAAAGCATTTACTTTTAAGCATTTCTTTTTGCAGAGAATTTGGAATGAGGTATTGCTACTGGATTGGGTCCAAGTGGCCAAGAGCTTGGTGAGTCAGGCCAAGGGAGGCAGAGACATGACTCCCAGGTTCTCGATCACCCAGAGTTTCTCTTGGGCTATGGATCCCTCAACCATTTGACATTGAAGATATTTGATTATCTCCAATGTGGTGGCAACATTTCTTCTGTGAAACGGAACATGCAAAGGAACAGCACAAGGCTCGTGGTCTCCTCTTCAAACTCGGCACACATCAACACTGTGAGGTACTGGGTATGCAGCCCAGGGGCTTCTACACATGAAGCACCCACTGCAGCCCTTTGAGCTAACTGCCCAGCTCACTGCTGCCTCAGCTCTGCATGAACACTCCACCATCTACATTCCCATTATGGCTGGGATGGGAGTCCTCAGGCTTTCTTTTAATTCAGGACCCGGATCAGCTTGATTTTATTGTTGATTTCTAGTGTTTGGTTTACAAAGAATCACAGCGCCTGTCCATGAGGGGCATCTTTCTAGTGAAAATTGACCTGCTGCATTTCCTCTTAAAACAGACGTTTAAGCTCCCTGAGTGCTCACGTACTAAAAATAAAATATACAGACACCCTGATTAGCAATGTGTGTGTCGATTTCTTATCACTTGCTGGATAATATTGGTCCATACTTTCTCCTCCGCCTTGGGGAGCTTAGGTTTACCGAGTAACACCAATCACAAAGCTTCTGAAGTGCTCCCATTCATCTTTAACTTCCCTTTGTACTCTGCTTCCCCTGTCTGTTAATCGCTCATTTCTTCTTATCAGACTCTGTGACTTGCAAAGTCAGAGTCTTCAGAGATCTCTGGACTTTGTAAGTGAAGTACTGATTTTCTCTTTCCTTTATGTCCCTTTTGTCAGTCCATGCTGTGCTCTTGCTACTTGAGAGTTCATTGACTCCAAATAATATCAACTCTGGGCACCTATCACATAAGTCTTCTATTTTTATGGAAATTACATGCCTATTGGGGGATTTAAATTTTGTGGAGAGGTTTTGCCACACCTAGCAGTGTTCAGGGACCTACAGTTCCACACCCAGCCTCTGTAGTGCCAGGGACTGAACTGAATCAGGGCTGGGCCGTAACTTCGCCTTATCTGCTTTTCTATCTCTCAGCCCCCTGATTTCTTTGGTTCAAGCGGAGCTTTTGTGCCAGACCCACGGGTGCTCTGTGAACCCTATGTAGTGCCAGTCATTGAATGGAAGGCAAGCAAGTAAACCTCTGTACTATGTCCCTGGCCCTCCTTTTTGGGGGTGGGGGGCATGATTTTTTTTTAAGTGAAAAACTAATTACAGTGGATTCTGAGTACTTTATCAGATCTACTTGGAGTCAAATGTTAATCTATCAGTGACCAAGAAGTATAGTGATGTGCTCCTTTTTAAAATGAGGAATTAATAAATATCCGTAGCACTATAGCACTGTCCTCCCGATGTTCATCGATTTGCTCGCGCGGGCCCAGTAACATCTTCATTGTGAGACTTGTTGGAACTGTGTTTGGCATATTGAATACATCACGGGTAGCTTTCCAGGCCCTGCTGTGCGGGTGGGGTACTCTTGGTAGCTTGCCCGGCTCTCCGAGAGGGGCGGAGAAATTGAACCCGGGTCAGCCCCGTGCAAGCCCTACCCGCCGTGCTATTGCCCTAGTCCTAATAAATACCAATAAGAATATTTTAGGGAGAAATCGATATCAAAGGAAATGCACGGATGGTAATGGCGAATGCTGACTCTCTTCAGCTGCACGGACCCAAATGCAGCCAGTCGGACGGATGGGAGAGGAAGCACTGGAGCTGCTGAAGTGGCAGCACGGGTGGCAAAAGCACAAGGGCATCTCCGTTATTTTCAGAATCTTTGTCTCCAGATTTTGCTCCTGGAGACAGGAGTGATGCCATTTCTTTTTGTTCATTAAGTGGAACCCCTTCTGCAAGCAGCCTGTGTTATGGTGCCGTGGAATACCATCAAATTTTGGACATAAGCCCATTTTTCTCTTTTATCAGGTCATTCCATTCTAGCAGACTTTCTTGGTCCATGAGAAGGGGATACTGAGAATTTTATATGTGCCTACCCCCGGTGGACGGTGTCACAAGGGAGGGGACCCCATGGACAAGCCACAGGCGACTCCCAGGTGCTGGCCAGACCCCTTGTGGGATCTTCGCTCAGGAGTGTTGGTATGAGCCCCCCATTCGGGCCACACCTCGAAGGACCGGCGTCTGAGACAGACATCTCCATTAGGCTGAAATGGTCGTCCACGGAACCGCATGTTAGAGCCCACCAGATCCTGTAGTGGGTGCCCTGGGACCAAATCACTCAGACTTGTCGACACAGACCAGAGTCTAGAAGACATTCCCAATGCCTGAGCCAACTCTCAAAACCCAGAAAACCAGGAGTGCAGAAAAAATGGTGCACAAACTCCAGAAAATAGTGCTGCCTCTGGATCAACATCAGAGGCCTCAGTGGCACCTACATTCCTGTATTTCCTGGAGAGACCCAGTGCCACCTCAGGAACTCCATCAGAGGCTTCGGATGCAAATCCTCAAGCAGGGAGATCAGTCCTGGGGAACCCAACTCAGCGTTCAAGGCACACCCAGCAACGCTTGGGGTTGCTCCTGGCTCTGCACTCGGGAATCACTCCTGGCAGCGTGGGGAAACATGGGTCTGCACCCCAATAAATGACGTCACAAGGGAGGGGACCCCATGGATAGAACCTGGCTTGGCCATGTGGCCATGTGCAAGGCAAACCCCCTCCCCATTGTACTGTCTCCTGGAGGTGTGGCCACGTTGGAGCACCGCCTGGGGGTGCAGCCTCGCTTCCGCCACAGCCTCACGCAGAAAGCGGCTCACGGAGCTCAGGCTTCTCCACTGTGGAGAGGGGTCGCAGTCACGTCTGCACGTTGTTACATACTAAAAGTCTGAAAGCACAGATCTCAAGCGGAGCAGCGCATGCGGGCAAGTTGGCTTTTAGAGAGGGTTCCCACGGGCTGCTCCGCGCAAGTCCGTTGCTAGGATGGTTGCCAAGGGCGGGGGCGGCGGGAGTCAGCTCGCTAATGCGGGCCAAGTGTATTCAGGTGTGTCCCTTGAAACCTCACCCAGGGAACACGTGGCCAATCAGAGTGGCGAGTGGGAATGGGAGGGCTGGGGGGGGGGGGGGGCTGCCGGAGCAGATAAAAGACAGTCCTCAGACCCATCTCTTTTCTCCTCCCGGCTCTTGGACTTTCCCGGTCTCTGGTCTCCAGCGTCAGGTAGGGCTCTGCGTCTCAGCGGCCTGGCACGGGCAGGCTGCTCGGGTCCAGCTCGCCCGGTGCAGGCAGGGCTGGCTGAGGCTCGGGTCAGGCTGGACTCCGAGGCCCAGCAGCGATAAGGAGGGGGGCGCAGGGGGGCACGTGGCCGCGGCTGGTTACTTGGAGACTCTTGGTGCGGTTGGGGGGCCCAGCGACAGGCCCAGAGCAGGGGGGTCTTGCCCACGCGCACGCGGCCGGAGACTGGGGGAAGGGCACGGGGACGGAGAGCGAGGCACGGTGTGACCTGGTCATACCACGGGCAGAGAGACCCGGGGTCCAGGAGCCCCCCCCCCCCCCTGCCCACCCCCGTTATTCTGTTGGCAACTTAGGGGCTAGGTCTGCTCCCACTCCGAATG